TGATAGCGTCCAGACTTTAGGGGAAGGTATAAGCTTCAGCTTTTTGAACAAGAAAGGTTAAACTTGATATATAGCATCAGCACGCGGTCTTTGAGTAAGTCGGCCGTGCTAGAGCTTGTGGTCTTCTATAGTAATTTTAAACAAGGGAGCTTTGAAGTGAAAGATATCGCGGATACTTGCACCGCGTTACCGAGACTACAGTGAGCGATCGAGGTTCTGCAGTGATACTCGTGTCCTTAAAGCTTTGATTAATTTTTTGTTTCTTAAAAAGGGAACGGCAGCCATCGTTGTGGAGGGTTTACGTGCAGTAATGGTTCGCACTGATAAATTTGCGGTTAGGTGACAGTTTGAATGCAGTGTGCATTTTTACGAGCTGCGTCGGATATAGTTTTTGTGGCAAAGCTTTTCGAGCGCGCTAGAGGTGATAAAAACTTTTTGGAGACGACGAGTTTTTATCTCTCTGCTTTAAACAGCACCACTGCACTCGTAGATACTACATTTATGATAGTGCCGAACACTTCAGCTATGCGCGAGCGAATGGTCGAGCTTCCAAACTGAGCCGGCCTACGAGCCCCCTCCGCGGCAAAAGTCCAAGTCCCAGCCTCACATGACTGTCTGAAAAAAAATGGTTATTCGTTTTGTATCCTCGAAAGATCAAGAGCAGTGAGACTCAGCCTTATAGAAGGCTACTTTAGCACTAACAACCCAGACATGTTGCTCAGCCAGTTCTTTAAGTTTGAACAGTGACGCGCAATTACGTATAGCGCACGATTTGCAAATGCAGTGAGATAGTGCGTGGAGGCATAAAATAATCGGACATAGTTACAACATATAAGCATCTTGTGACGCGAAACTGATCAAAGTGTCGATTTTTCGCTCATTCAGGCACTGTGTGAGCTCTCTGACAAAGCGTAACGTGGTGCTGACTGAAAGTCAAGATCCATAAATCGAATCGAAGTAAAAAACATAGTGTGTCGCGCGTTTTACATCTAGTGGAACTTTGGTGAGTCTTCATTTCGCCACTGCTAGGAGGCAGAAGCGTTATCAACGCAGCCACGTCGCTGCAGTAGCTCAATACACGACTTGGATTGGTCTGATTTAGTTCCCATAGGCATGGCTAAGAGCCTTAGTCTAAGCTAGAGAGGCAGAAAACTCAGTGAGTCATATTCTCCAATGAGGTGGGATGTATCGATCGTATTGAACGGTCCCTAAAGCAAACTTTTCACTAAGCGGAATTTCCTCCTTGACTTTGCGAAGTACAAACCACTACATTAACGTCAACGTAAATGCTCCTTCCATCAAATGCCTATTGCAAACATCCCTGCTTAATTTCATGAGCCTACTGCTACCAAACTTGATTTTGGAGCAAACCCGAGGTCCACTGGCTAGAGAATACGCTCGCGTTGCGCTGCATGACCCTGTTTCGCCGTTAAAAGTAGTGTAGACCAAAAATGCGCATAAATGATGACGGCGACAGGGAAAATCGCTCTCAAAAGGAATCCTCAACTTCTCAGATTAAGGGTACTCCTTTGTCAAACCGTATACTAATCACATTCCGAGTGAAACCGCTGGTCCACTATCTGCTCACTTGGAAGTGATTAACTTGTTGCTCAATTATCGAGCCGACTCTTCCGTTGCTCATTCTCTTTTGAATTCCCTCGGGTATGGTGACGCGGCGAGGCTTTGCGCTCCGGCAAAACCGACTGATTTGTATTTATCTTTTTATTCTAAGCAGTAGTTTTTATCGACATTAGGCATTTTAGCGATTCCGACCGAGGTCGTTCATCGCGAACAGAAGAAAGCTTAGATACAAGGGACTGTTAAGAGGTTGCTCCCTCTTCACCAGAGCGTCACGCTACCATATCTCACATATATGTGGTCATGGGTGGCCTCGATAAGCTCATGGAGAGCATGGGGTGCGTTTGCATACTCTGCGAATTGTTGCTAGAGAGACGCAACCCCTCTCTGTATCTGGTTTAATCCGGTCATATAAATCAAGGTGATAGCATGCTCTTTGAAATTGCAGACACAGCATGTGTGGGAACATCGCACCTTATAAGCCATTTTACCTGTGTTTCGCATTCCCCTAGCATCTGTAAATTTATTTTGCATCGCTCCGCTCTCAGTCATAGCGTCGCGCAATCAGCGCGTGAAGATTAATTTTGCCGAAACGAAGTCACAGAGTTTGCAACAAAGTGTAGCGGGTCAAAAATCAAAAGCGTATTCCCGCATAATCAGGACCAAATGCTAGCTGAGTATAAGTGTATGAGTTCTATTTTGCTGTTCTTCAATCTTGATAGATGCGCTTTGGATATTATCTAGATCCCGCCCGGGGCACTTTGTTAGAAAGCATGACTTTAGTGTCGATCATATAAAGATCAAGAGCATAGTAATTTGTACCACAAATTCTCGAGCGATTCAAAAAAATGACTAGGTCTGGCCAGCTTCTTGCTCAAGTATACTTCAATTTATGCCGATAGTCTGGTGATCAATTGAAATCTTGCAAATCATGCAGTATGGTGCTGGGATGGCGGAGACTTGAAACGTGACAGATTACCTCATGAGTAACCCGATTTTAGCCTTTCAAAATAATCTTGGCAACTTCATACTATCTCGGACGCTCTGGCGTTTGCAATAGGCCCTTGCATCTCTAAATCTGGTTCTAAATAGGCCTGAAGTCAAGCCCTTTGAACAATAAGCGACAGGAACATTTGACCAAGTCACGACCAGGAGCTACTTGCTACATTTGTATTTTTTTGTCGTGATATTCAAATAAACCTCTTTAAATTCGAAGCTATCCGTTTTAAAACGCATGCGTTGCTGTGCACAGCGACAATTTTATTATGTATCTTGCTGAGATTGGTGAATCGGCTATCTTTTGCCCGAGAAGACCTTTGAGGGAAGGAATTAAACGGACCGGTATAATGGAGTGGTAATTGAACTTGTACGTCGCCTGTACTATTGACTGCGATGGTGACGCCGCGGATTAAAAATTCGATACGTCCAGCGAACGGATCAGGTGATACATAAGCGAGGCTTTTTAAAAATAAATCCTGCATCGCTGAAACATTTGGTTGCGCGTTTCTCCCCAGTAAATTTTTGTTCAAAGCCTAATGTATTACAGCACTGAACTGCTTAACACTTGGAATCTCTTGATGAAGACTCCATTTACATCATACACAAGATACAAATGACAGCCCTTTGGTTAGCCATCTTGGAAGAGAAAGCCTTACGCATTAACAAAGTGCTGTGCAGGTCGCCGGACATGTATGGTTTGATAGTTATTAGGGTTCAACCCTAGTCGAATCTGTCAAATCTTTTGAAATGATTGGTTTTCTAAATTTGTTGGTGATCGTTAGCACTGACTTTAGCTTCGGTCGTCTACAATGGTAATAACATCGTAGTCTATATATACAGCCTAAGCAAAACGAATTTTCTCGTTGGTAATAGCAACGGTGTCACCAGCAAAGATACATACAACCAAGTGTCCTTAGACACTGTTTTGTGAAAGTGCCGACGCTTCAGTTTGAGAGTAACCTCTTATAGCAAAAAATTTCATATTTTTATAAAAGCTGTGGGTTTCCCACTTATCTTTTGAGACCACAGCTTTGTAGGCAGGACGAAAGAAGTCGCTTTGATACGGCAAGCTATTATCAGCTCGGCAAACTCAAAGCAAAATCTTGAAGTTTGACAATTATATTGAGCGCCATGGGTCATATTTGTAAAGCTATTACTGAATTTCAGGATGCGCAAAAGAAATATTACGATGCAGCAGTTGGATAAAATACGATTGACTTTGCTATGTCTCTATTCATTTTGATGGTACAAGCTTAGAATCTAGAGCCCAAGAGACAAAGGTGTTGTCCGCTACATTTGACTGCCGCATGAACGAGATCGAGTAAAACCTCAGGACATCTCAATGAGACTGCAAAAGTACATTCTGCTATACGAGTAGAAATTTATGACATCTCAATCCGCTATACTCAACGCCCATATCACGATTTTGCTCTGACAGATTATCCACCACGCCGACTGGCCATCGATTGCTTGCTGAACAGTTATGGATACATTAAATTTGTTGCCAAGGAACGAGGTTTGCAAATTGCACTATGAGAGACGATTTTCTTTCGATCCAATTCTCACACTTAAACATATTGCTACAACACAAGATCTCGAAAAGGATTGACTGTATCTTCATTGCTTTTTAGGGTGTTCCTGCTAGTATCGAGATGCCCCATGTTGCTGATAAGGTCGGCAAGATCACAAAGTGGGCATTCTAAGCAGTGTAGCTGGAAGACCTCAGTCATACTACAGAGAAAAACGTATTGCTGCGAGTCCGCCATGAAAGCTGAATCAGGCGATATCCATTTGTTCATTCTATACAGCGCTCACTTATCTGCCTGTCCTTACTCGTTTTAGTTGTTCACGTACTGAAGTGTCGATGTACTTCATCCAGAATATTATATTGGATAAAACATTGTGAGGTAAAACAACCATATTCTATGTATCAAGTAGGTCAGTGTTGCGATACAGCAAATTGGCGAAATAAATGTTCTTTCAAATTATCAATCAAAGCGACACTTGGGCTTGAGAATCCTTGCTCTTAAAGTCTTTAGTAGCGCAGCACACGTCCAAAAGCCGTGCTGTCAGCATCGATAACGAATGACATCACCATTTTGACATAAAACAACTCGTAAGCTTAGCGATACAAAAGCGCATCCGCGTACAAATAAATGCTTAGTCAGTTTAACCTAGCAGGATCGTTTTGCACCTAAAGCGCATTCTGGGTATAGAATGATAATCATCGGGCCATAGAGATGTGGTGACAATGTCGCTGAACGTTTCGAACAAAACGGCTCACAGTGAGCAGCGAACCCTTTACAAGACAAGATCATTTTGCATGACAGGAAGAGCTTTGCTGTCAGCCGGGTATTTTTATTGTGAAGTCTTAACTTGGCGAGATACTAATGCAACATCGAAATCAAGCATATCGGGGTCTGCTCTGCTCAAGGATACCACAGTCGCAGAAGCGTTATGAACGATATGGAATCTCGACTACAAATTCTAAAAGACCAATGCAGAAGCTCACTTGAAAATATCTCAGCATCCTGGACCATCATCTCTTTTGACGCGCATCCGCAGCATTTTGCATTTTCTTGAAGGCTGAAGGTTAAATCGAGTCGTGTCGTCTGTTCAATGAATTCCATTGGTCACGACTGGCCTATTTGTCCTTCGTGTTTGCAGGATCTAATCAAAACAAGAGCCAGAATTTCAACGATCCAAACGTGCGATCTTGTCAACTCTATAGTTTACTTAAGCGCACACATCGAATAATAGCTTATGAGTGTTAAGTGTAAAGGTCAACATCTGGACGAATTTATTGTCACAAAGGTCGATGCTTAGGTCTTAACAGCTTTGCCACCGATCAGGTACCGAATAATCGCCACACCGCTTCCTACTAAAGCTCTCTGTTATGGTCAATCAGTCGTTTTTCGACAAAATTGAGAGCTTTGAACGAAATCTACTATTTTGCAGTACCTCCCTTTTAGAAATACGCTTTAGGATTGGATATCGTAGATTTAAGCTTATTGATAGCATGTACAATATGCCACGTGCACTAAGTTTCTGACGTAAAGCTGGCTCCGATTTAGAAATTTTACGCTAGCACATCAAACCATTTTCCTGAAAAGCATATTTGGCGTCACACTTTATCGAGATAAAAGCTATCAAAGAAAACAAAATAAATTAGCTTGAAAACCAGGTCAGTTGCATGCCAATTTCTTCGATCTAGGAGAATGTGCTACGTGATTACAATATTTGAACTTGTAATCACGCCGTGGTACATCTTTAATGAATGATGTAGTATGCTTTAAAGTAATTGATCTTAGTTTTTCAACCCCTCCCACTTAATTTGAGCTGGGAGTCAATAGCAGCGAGCACAACCGCGACGAATGATGAGGTCAGCCCTGTCATCGCCACCATCAGAGTCATTTTGTTGTCCAACCTGGTCACAACTTTATGCGTCTCCTTCCGGCGACTGCCACGTCCGAAGGAAAACATTCCCACCTAGTGTAGAAATTGAAGACTATAATTCCTTCGGCTACTCAGCTTCACTCATTAAGGTTCTATTTGGTTGATAGTCGCAAACTCGTAAGCTACTATGCTTAGTACAGTGCAAGCGTCACTTGGTTTTACAGACTTGGCCGTACCGGTACAAGAAAAAACCATAGCACTGAGTCATTTTAACCGAGACCCACAGTTGCCTTTTTCGATAGAGGATTGTTTTGGAGACCCAGATGTTGAGTATTTCCGATCCGTCTTACCAGAGCGCATCATGGTTTATATACTGCTAGTGGCAATTCAGAATACTCCTGTTTCTTTCTCTGTCAGCCTCGCGGAGTGAATATCCGAATGCGCCTTTTGTCTAAGTCGAGATAAGCAAAAAGCTCTAAGCATTGTCAGGCCATGGTTCGTGGCGCCCTTGCTAGGCCATACTTGATGCAATGGAGTTGCCGTGCAGAAAGCTTTATTCTTCCACGGTCCGCGTACAGAAGATAGAAAACTACTAGGAGATGAATTGAGAGCATCCAAGACAGTAAACACTGTCAGCTTGCTCTGCCTTTCAGACAAGATCTTGTAAATATGTAATACTACTTTTTATTGTAAAACCGTTAGCCTTTAACGTACGGCTAGCAGTCCATGTGTACATCGGACCTCTCCTTTTCGGAGCCCTGTAATATCTGTAGATATAGAAATTTAATACTTATTTGTATTTCCAATTGGACCAAGTGTAGTGTGACCTTTATGCATCTGTACCGACTTGTAATTACTACAAGTGTGCCAAACGTACAAGAGTTAAATACATATGAATAAAGCGCTTTAACAATTACACCCCCTAGTAATATTTGGATCACACAATGGGGCTTACTTTGATTTGTAAATTTAGATGTTGCGCTAAAAAGACCGCTCCAAAAGCAACCACTGCGCTTGAACTTTCGCTTCACACTCCTTTCTTCACAGTATATTTGCACCAAAAGCCGTTCCCACACCACATAAAACGGCCCAACGAGCCCCCGCCAATTGCGCAGTCTTCGCAAACGACGGGCTTAAAGGAATTCTTAGATGCTAAGTAGTTTATAATGAGAATGACCTCAGTGACGTTCCGAGTCCTGAGAGACACCTTCGCTCTCACCCGGCGATTTATGGTCCAGCATTTCCAAAAAACGCTTACCACGCTTAACCTCATAGTGGCACGGATACCGCATTACGTGCCTTTCTCATTGGCGAGAATTGTTTGGACACCCGCCGACAAATTAATTCGTTACACCAAACAAAACATGATCCGAGCTGTCCAGCTTGCTTAACTGCAAGCACAAGAATCAAAGCGTTTAATGTGGGTCTTCTACTCACACCAGCATCTTTCATGAAGGATGTTCCTTGGACAGTAAAAGTTTGTAAAAGTGCAGATATAGCGATATCAAAGCATTTAGCTGCACACATGTACCTTTAGCTTAACTCAAGACGTGGTGTGTTATATACATTATCCTCGTGATATTCAGCGTGTAATGATGCCTCACAATAATTTATTTTGAAACAGGATACTTCACAAGGAGCATGATACACCTCTGTGTGGCTACCCAGAAGGGGCTAGGCATACCGCACGACGGTGCGCTATGTATTGATTGCTCAACAAGCATTCGCGGGCCGTCACATATATCACACATATGAGACCTATTGGCGGATGGAAGCTTGTTGGAACCTGCGGTACCTTTGACCAGCTTCCCACTTTCGGCGAACTGTTTGCAGCCCAGCGATATGATTTCTTTGTCTTTCAAAAGACGTGTCCGGTATACCGATATTTGTGGTTTAGTGAATGGTCTGGATAAGAAGGTTCGTCTTTCTGCTCTCTGCATCAATTTGGATGGTGCGGATACAATCTTGACGCTCCTGAACGAATTTTTTTGACAACACAGCTTGCTTACACTATTGTATTGGATAGCGATCCGTGCTTTACAGCGAAGTCCTGGCAAACATTCTTCAAGATACTCGAAGCCAGATTAAAGTTGCTAGTCGCTGATCGTTTGCAGATATATGACCAGACGGAACGCGGAACGCTTTCATAGTGTTGTGGAGGATTCTGACTCTCGAAACCTTGTTATCCAGATTATCACCGATGCAACCTATGTTGCGTCGAGCCTAACGCTGTACGGATTGCCTAATTTAATGGCAAAGGTACCTTTGTGACATGCGGCACTTCATAGGCGGAACACTACCAACCACAAAATTAAGCCGACCCAGATTGTACCTTACCGAAAAAGTATCTTCGGCAAAGAAGTTTTTTTTGCCATTCTTCGTCAGAGTTGAGATGACGGCGTCGCTATGCTTAACAACACTTGAGATCTTCATATTTTTTTCTACTTAAAGTCAACTATTTGCTGAACTTGACGAGGACAAACTTCGTTGAGGGTAGCTTCTTGTTCTCAACATTGTTCTATTATAATATTTTTAGCTAGCGAGATGAAACGCAACCACGCGCTGTGCCCAGTGGCATCTGCTTAGTGTACAACGCAGCCTACGTCAAGGGGTGAATGTCATTGAAGCCGTAAATTGCCAATTTGGATTCGAAATAACCAAAATCCGGACATACATGCCACCTTCTTTCCGAGGTTTTATGACGCCTCTTACATCGTATCCCAGCGCCCATTTAACAACCTTTTACAGCGATTGATGAGGGGCCTTAAGTTTGTACTGTACATGTGCAAGTTGTAAGTTAGACCAAACAACTCTTGCAAGTCGGTTCTGAACAGAGGCACTGGCTAAGTTACAATTGTTTACATCTGGTTTGCCCGCAGGCCCTGATTCACAATCAAGCAGCACAGAAATAGGTCATCGCTGGCCAAAGACACACTTCTCTATATTTGCAAGTCCACTATTCAAGCATGTCTACTCGAGCACCGCTAGCAAGTATTTTTTATTGATGGCATTCTTCATCCAATTCTATTTCCTGTGCCTACACGTTACGGACAGACATATCTTCAAGATGGAGTCTGAATGCGGCGATGTAATATAACCAGTCGATAGAACCGCCACTTTGGCGTAACCAGCGATATCTAGAGCATCCTCTTCAATTTACCTCAATAGCAGTTGCTAAAATCAATCTCCCTAGACAAGGGCAACGATGAAAATGCAGCCGGCCATGCATGAACAATTCGCCACTTGCCGTTCACCATTTCAAGCACATATAGTCGGATCCGTGTGTCAATGGTTTTTTTTCTCATCGAACCCGGTTCGTACTTTGAACGGAAGCGAGCAGCAATATCGTCACACATTTCTTTGCGGTTGTTTCATTGCCTTGTGATGCAGTGAATGGCTTCGGGAAACAAGACAAATTCATGAGGCACCTTACATGGATTATACGGTTGGTGAATCACACAGCACCACTTCGTAGTGAAGACAAGAGGAATAGCTGGATCCAAACGGATAGCTGTCTCATTTCCGCAGTCAGTGCCTCACGAGTGTACTCATTAAATATTTATTCATGATTGATGGTAAGCTCAGCTTCTCCTTCGGTTTTATCCGTACATATTGGTAAAATCATAGTGTTGCGGTTACTTGCATATAGTATCAACGGGATTATTCTTCCAGCTCTACGTTTTTTTGCCGAGTGAATTGATGGAAGACATGTATACCAATGTTTCTCAGATCGCGAGTGATGATCTTTTTCACATCCTTACCGTTAACCACTACTGTCCGATACGAACGGCACATTCCACAGTTGCGCTCACTGAATAAAACTGTCATATCGTGAAAATGTAATCTTTTTTTGTAAGGGCTAGGCTGTTTATTTGCAATTTACGATCGACTTTCAACCCACTAGTCTTGGAAAGGGAGATTGTAACACCCGGTCGCTACTAGCTTTAGCACAAGGGACAGCAAATTACAATCTCTTTTACCGTTCTGCCAGAAATACACTTTGAGATCCACGATATCACATCGTCTTTTCTATCTCAACAGATATACACTCCGAAGACTGCGATATACAGTTACCTTTCTCCGTCTCATTCCGAGTGAGCGGCTTAATGGCAATACAGCTTTCATGCTTTGCTTGAGGGACCTGGAAATAACGTTGCGATTACTGTGAACACTCATGTTCTTCACGGAAGCTTTCGCAGCTTTGCCCGCGCCAAAAAGCGCGTATGCCTCCAGGCAGTTGTACACAGCTCCATCAGGATAGTTGTGTGTGGCGCCCAAACTTAGTTTTCCGGTTAAGCGATGGATGCAATCCATCCATACCTATCTTAAACCCTGGTCAAAAATAAGGCTATTGGTTCCTGGTATCAAAGTCATCAGACATCACTCGAAGGTCTGACATTACCTCAGGTATATTTTTATGTGTCTTTCTCGCAAGATGAACGGACAACTGCACGTCGTGAGTAAGTATAGCCGTTTCTGTATCTACCAGGACTGTCTTAAACTTTACAAACCCCAGCACCTTTTCTTCACGACAACAAAAAATCCTCTATGACGTTAAGATCAAGAACCAACAATCCGCCATCCTTCATTATTAGTGCAGGGCTGTTTACCATTGACTACAACCTCCATCAGGAACAATAAATTTTTGCAGACTGCCCTAGCCTATTATGCTTGGTAGACCGACCTTCTTTACATAAAAAGAGAGCATAAAAAGTACGTAAAGCGCGGATATTTTATAGTCTCGTAAATAACTTTTGCTCTTCAGTAATACTGAAATTTACCGCCTCTGGTGTGCTCATGAATCTTACAGTATCAGCACTTGATCCTGCCTTCGCGGCACATATATTATGCTCCATTTGTTAAGCGACACTTACGCTACCTCGTAAGAGGCTTACTGCGACTTACACTTTATATTGTTTAGATTGGAGGGACAGGCGCTATTGCGGCAATTAAATTTCCTTAGCACCTGGACATAGTCTGCCAGTCCACGACTATCTTGACGGATAGTTAAGAAATTGCCTTATAAGTCAGTGAATACACTATCAACATTTTTCGCTTTAAATTAGCACACGCTACGGACGTTTATTTACCGATGTATCGTACCGCGACCGCCTAGCTCGGTGGTCGCAAACAAGAGGCACTATGACTACGTTTGAAACTAGACCAAATAGATGACTTTATTTATTTTCATTATCTAAAGTAAGAGATTGATACCGTCCTGGTTGCAAACTCAACATCTGCAGCTTCTCAATAGAAGCCATCTGTGCCTTTAACATCGCCCAGTTGTGGCACTTCCGAACTCGCTTCATCCGCGCATTCCCGAAGACATCAAACGATTCCACGCGAGCGATTACAGTCCGGAACTTTTGCAGCGAGTTCCTTGATCGCATCAGAACCCAGGATAGACAAATACTTGTTAAGTATGTCCACTTGATCTGGGGACAGGTATCTGAGCAAATCATGTTTGATCCCCGCAGATGGCACATTTATCCTACGACTAGGACGAGGGATTATGCATTGGTGATACCAAGTGCAGCGAGGATGCTGTGCACTTCAGAGAAAGTTTTCTCTCAACGCCCTCGTGCAGGAAATAACTTGGTGCTCCTTCCTTGAGTCTCGAGCATATTAAGCACAGTTAGTTCACACTGCTTTTTAGAGCCCATACTTTTTAAATCAATATAATTTAGAAAAAACTATTTGTCTATCTGTTTTTTCTATGTATAGTGATAAAAACGCTCTTTACTATGTGAAGTGCAGCTTGCAAATTGGTTTGACCCGGACCCTCCGTTTTGAAGTTCAATTATCATTAAATTATTGATATTTTGGTACTTATGAAGTTTCACGTTTTCATCAAGTACGATACAAATTACATACAATTGCACCATATCGTTTCTACTACAATTGCGTCAATTGATAGGGTGGAGACGACCAGTAAATGTGGTCGCTATCTCCGATTTTGGGAGAGATTCAACGGACGATACCCTCACAGGTAAAACAGATTTACTAGGATCAAGTCGTTGGAATGACAACAGGTGCTACAAAATGGAACCTGATTGCCTCGTGGATTCCGCCTTGATTAATACAATGACAATCTGATCCTACGGGCAGAACCAAGAGCCTTTTAAGTCCTTGACATTTAGGAGTGATATATTTCAAAAAAGTATTTATATTTACTATTTGATTCTTTATCGACAAGGTATACATAATGATGAAGCATACAATAACCCAGTCCATGTTCTCTTTGAAGTCACTCTGAAAGTAATATCATCCTCAAGTACATGTATTAATCATGGTACTTCATCACAAAACTTCATATTGTACATTTGAACTTTGCTCTGGCACCAGTGATTGTTTATGAATATTTAATTGAGTACGCACCCCATTTTAGTTATCAGCATGGCGTCAAAGATATACAAAAACGTCTAAGACAATAGATTATATGAATTTTGGTCGCACCTGCTTTGTTATAAGCCGTTTTTGGGTTATACAGACCCTGCGTCGTCCAGTATGCTAATGTCGTCGCCACATCTCTTACAGAGTACGGCAAGGTGATCACCTTCTTTGCCGAGTTATCTCTAAAGATTAGTGTAAGTCGCGTCGGCTCAATGCTGTGGCGGTAGCGCTTTCGCGTCATATCAACTATTAATTGTTGCATTCCATGATGATTTCGTCACACATAAATGTCGCGATACAAACAGCGCACGAATACAAATAATTTTTGCTGATATTTGCCATATATGCTCTATAGCATAACAAAGATCCTATTAGACCACAATAAGATCAATTGCTGTTTGTTGAGTGCCCAAGGCTTTGACAGAGAGCCCAAATGTCCTAAAACAGCCTGCCGATGCCCTGAACATACAGAGCACATGATTTTGCGATGTAGATAATGTTTATGATTTTTCGTTGACCAGCCTACTCATTAATAGTGGCTGAAGTTATCAGAGATCACGCTATATTAAACCAATAAATACGCTTAACTTCCTGAAGAAAGTGCAACATGTTGTATTATCATAAATTTAAAAGGTCTAATTAGATAAGAAGCGCCATGTTGACGACGAAGTGGTGGTTCTACCACCCCTAAAGCTGAGTTACCATCTACTCTCGGGTGGCGAAAGGATGTAAACCGCTGGAAAATCTCAATCCACGCGAAACGATTGCCAAGTTTGGAAAGGGGGACCAAAAGTCGCCCATCTCAATTCCCACCATGCGCCGAAACTTTTGGAGATAGTTGACATAATTCCGCAACCAAGAGCGTCTACAAAAGTCAGCCGTGGGAGAGTTGAACTTTCCGATGAGAAGGCGGTAGCTCACGCTTACGTGAATCGTTTAGGATATCGGGATACACTACCAGATTCGCAAAAAGGGGAATATTTGCATACAAAGCCTTAGCGTTTTTGAAGTATCCATAACGGCGAGATTGCCATGTCGCCGTTGCCACTTGTAAGTTTACGTCTCCGGCCTTTGGGCTCCCTCGATGGGAGGCAGGGTCGCCCATTGCAGCACGCTTTTTGCTAGCGAGTATCGACCAATTCCTGGCAAATTCGATAATTGATCCTGTATCTCAGTTGGAGACGAGAAAGACTGATTACAACAGGAAATGAAGGAGTTTGGTCGCTACAAAGTCGTCTGCGTTGTGCTATGTACTTTGCAAAGTCTAACATTAGTCGATGTTTTGGTCGGATATCCGTCGCACTGAAACTGGCCTGCAAAGCTGAATAACGGCGAAACGAGATATTTTGCTCACTCAAGGCGTGAATAGAGTACAACACCCTTTGGCGCACACGCCAGCACAGAATACCAGTACATCCTTCGTTCAGATACTCGTTTATCATCTCTTGCTGTTCAAAGTGCAGACTGTTTGTTGTCTGGAAAGTGATGACTTATGGATTTAAAAGGCTTGCGTGGCGTGGGCGGTAGGCCCGCAAATACATGTGTAGCCTCAGCACGGCGAGTAACCTCTGATAGTTAAACGGCATAGTCATGACGTGAAAACTCGGCAAGAGTTGTGGTGACTCTTGCGCTTGCAGTAGAGCAAACTTGGGTCCTTATTTCATGTCCGAGTCACTATTGTCGATCTGGGCATCGTCATGAGCCTAACGACGGAGTATCGCAACAAGACCAGACATAGCACTGAGATCATCCCTCGTACAGAGGCGATTGAATCGCGGTAAGCGCCTTCTCTTCTCCGCGTAAACGTAAAGATACTGAGTCATGACTCGGAGCATCGCTGTGATCGCTTTCATTGGAAAACGTTTCGGCCCACCCACCATTTTCGCTTTAGCGGCCTCGTTCGCCTTGCTGAGTTATGTTATGGTTTACACGGGCGAGACCTCAGATGCGATTACGCCTGTAGGAGCAAACACTATAGAGTGCGATGAATGGAGAGAAACTTGTTTGCAGTGGGTGCTCGTTATGTGCTAGTTCTGCGCAAACTTATAAAACAGCTAAAGAAGTTTAAGCCCCAGTGTAATCCACATCTTGGTGGAAAAGCACGTTTACATTCGTGCATAACAATGACTTTCACAATCAAGCGAAACTTACATTATACATTTGTGTAATAATGCGAACGGTGGACGCGAACTTTAAGTCGGACCTTTCTCTGTTGCAATTATTGTAGACAGTAAAACATATGTGTTCACTCTTAGTTTGAACTAAATAAATGTCCTTCTTGAACTAGGAGGGGTCCATAGCTTTATGCTTCTGCTGTGTTCTACAGATCTTTACATTCAGTCTTGTTGTCATGTCAAAACTATTTTTTTGTATTCTGAGCTCTCTACCCTTGACAATTGCTTCAAATTTGTGTACAAGCAGATCATTCACTAAAAACACAACGTAGAGTGCCTTTATTAGCGCCAACACTTACCGTTGATAGAAGATAGAAGAGAATTGCTTGACAAGGTGTAAGAACCAAATTTTGAGCATATAATTGTTTCTGATCTTATTTTTGCCGTCATTGGCATATATAGCTGGTGAAGCATGTTTAATCATCAGAAGCGCTTCATTCTAAGTAGATAATTTCTATCGCTCTTGCTTTAAAGCACGCTTCATTCTAAGCAGATAATTTCTATCTTATATCGCTCTTGCTTAGTCTCAACAAATTGTGCTTTAGCTTCTCGTGTCAATGCGTTGAGAAAGCGTTGACACGAGAAGCCAAAGCATCAAGACTACAATCTCCGACGCCAAGGGTCATGCTCATTCCGATCGGTGACGATGAGTAGTCATCGAGCTTAATTTAAGTGTTTGGACAACGGTTATGACGTGCTTTGTTATAATCAAAGTACCCACAAGCAAACAAAAGCGTCTCATGAATACGGACATCATCCTGCTCACGAATGTAATACTGCATACACTTTGATCAGTCAATTTCGCCACTGCAACGAAAAAATATGGGAAGGTGATGTAAAGATACACGGCAACAGAAGTGAAAACTATCAAACAAAAGCGTCAGAGGCGACGTATAGAACAGTTAGGTGTTGACGCTATTAAGTGCAGACCTTAAAGGTGTAACACCCGGTAATGCCAGCATTAAAATGCCTGACTTAAACATGTATATTCAGCTAAAGAAACTCGAAATGTTTGTTAGACTTCATATTGAATTTGTAATCAGTAAGTATCCAGTTGTTCTTCCGATATTGTCTTTCGAACTGGTCCTTCCCTATAGAGCCCGACAGCACATGAAAGCAGCTGTCAATATGAAGTTAAAACTTGAAGAGGCTTACAGTTGATTTCTGAACAGGTGAAAGCTGGTTAGATGGCGTCAGGGCGCAATATCCAAGATTACGATCATATGGACTTAAATAAAACCAACAAGGATCGCACAAATACATTCGATCAGACGTATTTTTACCTTCGCCACAGCGTCCATTTTAAAGGAACTCTCGCTGTGTAAACACATAGGAATCTGATGTTGGAACCTTCAGTATAATCTTCTAATTCAAAAGAATAGCCTCAAAACTGTTCTACATGATAACAACATGCTATCTATTCTTGGCATCAATAGCACCATTCATGAGCATATTTTCAACACATCGTTGGCGTTTATTCCAAAGTCGACGATAGCATGGCGCAACCAACTCGGCAAGGCCATGAATATGCTGTCGACTCTGCTCAGCCGAGACGCCACAGAGTTTAGGCATTAAATATGAACAAAGCTGTAAAATACTCGAAAGCTCTCCTGTTGAGCTATGGAGTGGCTCAAGTAGACCCCAACCACAGTCACGAATTTCAACGCTCTTGGCATTTCCGTGGGGTATACGATTGGAACAATCAGCAACTGACTCCCAAACAAACACAACACGACCAGTATCTCGATCAACCACACGTCGAATTACGCATCGCACAATAAATCCACTATCTGGTCCACGATGTTGTCGTAAAGGCATCGGACTTTTAAAGCACAAAGTATCACTAGTTGATCCCCCAACTACAGTCGCTTCAGACTCCGCTTCCATGCACTGCCAGACTGCAGCAGCACATGATTGAATATCAAAAGGTAAGATTTTGGCATCTTTCACCTCCATTACAGGTCCACGACGTTCATCAAGGATCATTTGTGTTTCTTGCAGTTCCTGTTTATCTCGTATGAAGCCACCTTTTCGAAATACCGTTTCCATTTCTGCTAGTCGCGCTTCTAAACCCGAAGCTAACGAGGCAAATACGGCCGTTTCTTCAGCATCACTTGCACGAGGTTGCTTCACTCCAAGTACAACAGCTGATGTCTCGATGTCCGGGCCTGAACTCATCGAAGATTTGCATCGCTTTCGCAAGAGTTTCTCCAGTCCTTTTGAAATCTTTAATTGCTCTTGAATTAAACCTTTAAGACGCAAGTTTTTCATCTCTGCTTTACTCTTTTCTTCTTTCTGATGCTGAGCCATGCGCTCCCACACGGGAAAAACTAGTAGTCCACTTGTTGATTCTCCAGCAGTCTCGAGCCCCCCTGAGGAATACATAACAGTACCTTCGGTCTTGATTCTACCATTTGTTTTAGCGGAGATGAGTCGCTGTTTACTCTGAGGCATTCGTGATCTCAAGTGCTCTAACTCACGCTGAAGCTCTTGCACCTGTGCACGAAGTCGTGTCAGCTCATCTTTTTGACGTTTACGAGAATTGTTCACTGTTCCCGAAGCACTAATCCCACGGCTTCTCTTGAGCGGTCTTTGAGCCATTGATTGCATTGACTGAGTAGGAAGTAGCGATACAGTCCGTGTTACAGGCGATCGTTCCGATGGACTCTTACTTGTCGAAAGTGAAGGATTCGAGTACTTCTGCACTATATTACGCGTTGGGAAAGTAAAACGCTGATCAGCACAAACCGAGGGAATTCTTATCGTTGGTAGAGACGGCAATGGCGAAGTCCCCGTTGAATGGTCTCTCTGTGGTCGTAAAGAAGGTAGTGGAGATCGCTGGTGTGTACCATTCGTACCGGCACGAGCTAAGAGTTCAACGATCGTTAGAGCTGTTGAATTACGACGTTCAGCTTCATCACTACTTTCATCACTTTGTGAAGAAATAGTTAAGGGTGTGAAGGTACTTTGGTTACTACCCGTGGGTGTCGAACGCAATTTAAGCGGCGGAAAGACTGCTGGACTGGCCATTGAAGGGTGCGTTGCAACAGATGACTCGGAGGAGACAGACACGATTGAGATCTTCCGTCTCGTAGCTTGCGATTGTTCAAATGTTGGGCTATCCATAGCTTATCGTGAGATGGCGGTGCATGCACTAGGAACCACAAAAAGAAGAGGAAGGAAGACGTTCTGTGCCCAAACCCGAGATGATGATGCCAACAAGTATACAGCCTGGAAAAGGATAATCACACGGCTTTTCATCAAATATTGTAGACTCTTTAAATCGATCTTGATCTGTTTTAAGCAGATGGTTAAAGTGTAAACATCCGGGGTTTTCAAATATGATGGGGATGGACGAAAGTATGGAAAAAAGAGCGTGACCCAACTGCCGATTGCAAAGTGTACGGTATATGTACAGTAATCCAAACGACGGTGACTCTAGAGTTTAGTGGAATGTATACCAGAGTGTCCTGTCCCACGTGTTGTGTACAGTATAAGATTGACATGATATTGTGAAACGAAACATAGAGAGTTGGAATTTATTTGGAATGATAATCCTTTGCTGTTTATTGGTTACTTTTGCTGATGAAGTGAACAAAATGGTCATTTTGAATGTGAAGATCAACGCACTAGTTACTTGTACAAAGATGTTGGTCTATTCGACACATACGAGCGATGTATCATTGTCATTCGGTGGCCAACAAATGAAGAGATTGTCGTGCATCATTCCCTATTACTTGTTAACATTGTTGAAAAATGATAGATGGTATAGATCTATCGTTGCTGATTCGTGGACTTAAATTTAAATACAGACGTAAATTTTTAACAACTTCTCACTGTTGCTTACGCCAGCGGCTGTACCTATTCGCGGCAGCGACAAGTGCCTCAAGAAACGTTTATTTCTGCCATTATTGGAATCAGTCGACATTATCGTCCTTGTCGCCGTGAATATCAGCTTAGAAGTTTTAAAGCTTTTACGGAACGTTTGAATTAATCAAACTATTTCCGGTCACCACAAAGGGCGATAGATGCCAACAAATCGCTCTTTTAAACTTACAAGATGGTTTCAAGCGAGATCTTACTTAAAGGCGTCATCAACTACCATATGGAATTCGATTATTTGTATGAGAGTAGTTATATAGCAGTTTCAAGTAGATATACTTTACTTTTGTTGATGAGGCTTCTTTTCGCAATATTATAAGCTATTGAAGGGTAACTAGACTCTTATCTTTGTAGCGAAGATGGAAGATTATGCAAGAGAGAAGGCTAGGTTTAGTCTCAAACTTGATTTATTTAATATCATAGTAATAACAGAAGCACATGGCATTAGACATTACCAACGAGCAGCATGTTTGGGCATGAGCCCCACATCAATGTGCGATAGTGTTGACTACATCATCTATTTCGCTATGGGTCAGCGAGTTTTTCAAGCGGCTCACGACTTTTAGCGGCGGTGATTTTCAAAGATGATGTGGCATCATATGAATGACCGTAATAGTTGATATTTGATGGTTCAGGACATTCAATCGTCGTTTTACATAACAACTATATACCTCTATCAGTTCTACCAGTGAGTTTCATCTGTTCATATTATCTACACAATGTTTTGTCCTCAATTCCGACGTAACTTCAAAGTAAAAGCTTGATGGTTGATGACAAGAGGTTGTGTTTACGTCACAGCATCATTTATTACCGAATGCTGGTCGCCAATTACCTATAACTCTTTTATAAAATTTCTGAAACTCTATATTATAGGAGATTTAAATGCATTTGTAAACTTCTAAATTGCTGGGAAAAAGACCCAATAGTTTCTTTTTGCTAATTATTACAAAGAATATAAGAAACGAATACTGTAATTACTTCAGCTCTATACTATATTGTAATTGTTATGGTGCTCAAGAGCTGCGAAGCAGACGCTAATATGTCCCACTCTTTTGGAAAGGACTGCATACTTCGTGTCGTCCTACATATCATCCGTTAAACTGCAGGGAACCAACACGATCGCATGATATACCAAAGCACTACACCTCTAGATACCACCATTGAAAACATAGAGAACAGTAAAATCGCCTTTTACCGAGTTGTATTCACACAGCACGAAAGCTCATATCGATTTTAAATCGAGATGTACCGCCGGCAAAATACCTGCCGTCAAAAATGCGTATCCTAGCCTTTATTTTAAAAGCGCAGCAACATGAAGTAGATGGGCTATCTGTGGCAACCCAAGCGAACCGAGTGGCCGATAACATGTCTGGTGTTAGACATGAGAAGATCGATTATACAACTATATGTCTGTCACATCGATTAGATTTACATTTTCTCGTTTAAACAGACAAACTTGACCAAGGTGAAGCATACTCTGACCTACGAGAAAATCGAACCCTCAATCGAGAAAGTGGAGCCTTTTTGATAAAAGGCTCGATTTTCTTAAGATACAGAGTTGGTTACACGTTGACTGGAATTTTCTGTGGAGTTTCTAGCTAGAGCCCCCGTCGAAGATTCCTTTCTCATAAATTACAGACCAGATCATGCATCATTACGGCAGACTAATTTGGAATATGATGTGGCAACTTTAGGACGAAGATCCAGCACCAGAATAAACTCATTCACTTTCCAGCCCATCTGAAGCTTAATAGTCTCGTCCAAACCATTATTCACCACAACGTCCATTCCCGTATACGCGCACTGAATAATCCCTCAGGATTGGTATGTCCTGCCACTGGAAGTTCAGAGTAAATATGAGTCTGGCAAGGTAAGGTCATTCCTTGGCTGTCAAGGATACGCACGATATCACGGAAACGTGGCTGGTATAAGTCGACAACGCCTTAGATATCGTTGCAAAAGGAGTAAGATTCAGCATCAGACAAAGATACGGTCGGATTGAGCTCCATGGAGGCATGAAAACGCTACACTTAAGTTTACAAGGCACAGTCGCGTGACAATGACGCGTCGACTTCGCAACTTTAAGGCAAAAAGTGGTATGGCGAACCTTCTAGACTCTTTTAATCAGCTGGTTGATGGATCGCGCCAGCTAATGGTATTTCTCAGCAGTCTGTCGTCAAAAGATGATTTGACTTTATTGGTTGTAGAAAATACGAAGGACATCACATCAACTACAGTGAAGGAAAAGATGTCTAATCAACCAGAGAAGCCACAATCGATCGAATCTCTGGCTAAGCCATCGAAATAGCCAACCCGCTTGATCATAAGTGTTTTAGCTGGCTTGTCGTGGCGAATCTTCAGGCCCAAAATAAACTCTCTTTGCCCAGCTTCTTTGTAACGGGATTACACGTACCCTGGTAACAGGGTACGTGTCACACGAGATGGGAATGGTGTGACTGCGCCCAAACAAGAATACGGTATGTGGCTGGATAGCCAGTAGTTTTGCATGTATTTAGTTTCTTACTATACATATTGAGGATAATCTATACATTTAAAATTAGGCGGTCTAGCCGCAGATAAAAATAAAAAATCAGCTTTGAATTTCAAACGGAATAGTAATTAGTCTTGGGTTAAGGCAATAATTACTTTTGGAATAAGCGGATTGCGATCTGCTAACTCGTAACGCTACTGCAGCCCCGCTGCACTTGGTAGCACTTGTAGTCAATCAACACCTGAGTCGTATAGACTAATCCTATGTGAGGATGGAAGAATTTTCCGTTTTGCCCCAGGGTATGCAGGAAGGGCTTAACAAGCTGATGTTCTTGCTTGGCCCTGAGGGCGTGCAGCATTTCGCGGCGCAAGGCCCCGAGGCAATCGGTGCGCGTCTAGAGGCGCTTTCATATTACGAAAACGCGCAGCTAGAGCACCTGCAGCAGAAGATGTCTGCATCATTTGCGTATATGACGCCACCGTCCGTGACGGAAGATTTTCCTCGCCCTAAGCCGCTCAAAGTGAGCGTTAAGGTCTTTGAGGGGAAGGATGGAGAGAATCCCCTGCTCTGGATGAGAGAAGACGAGATGGCCATCGCATCCGCCATGCTCCAGACCGAGCAACAGCGCGTAGCGCTAGCCATCTAAAAGCTCGATGGTCGAGCGCGAGAATGGGCACTGACGTGCGGCATTTCGGTCGAAGCTGCGTTACCGTCCTGGTCGCCACCTAATCAGGCGTATCGCGTGCTATCGCGTTTCTTTGCCACCCGACAGGTCAACAAGAATTTGGTGGACTTTGTCCAAGAGGTTCGCACTCTCATAAAGAGATGGTAGCAGTTACCCTGCCGGAGGTGGTCACAGTGACTGTCTTGATGGAAGGCCTCCGCACTGGCGTGACCAGAATGGAAGTCTTCCGTGTGCATCCATCTTCGTTTGAAGAGGCCGAATTCAATTTCAGGTCGGCACGACTTGATTGAAATGCACACTCCAACAGCTCGTCGAGCGGGCCTATGCCCATGGATCTCAGCTTTGCTG